AATTAGGGTCGGTTGAAAACAAAACTTTACGACAAAAGAGATAATTTCAGCTTCAAAATTGTGAACTCTCCATTTCTATGTAGCAACATTCCAGCAGCGCCTGCATACGGAGTATATATCTGCCAATTCATACGATATTCCCGGGCTTGTATTTCCTATCATGATAGAGGGTTGCTGCTCACAAGGAAGCTATTAAACCAACCGTTCCAAATGGTGAAGTTTTAATCATCCCTTCTTTAATTTACGGACGCCATCACGAGTTGCTTGACTGTTATGGAATATCCGTTTCACAGATGATATCGGATATGTTCCTTATGTCGTAACTACAATCCCGTTCCCTTTTCACGAATGTGACATACCGTATGAAAAACTGTGTGAATGATCGACCAAAGTCCGTTTTCAGATACAAAGAGGCCGTGAAATGTCTATCATCTCTTCATGATAAGTATGTTGTTGTTCCTGCGGACAAAGCTTCAAATAATATTGTCTTTATATGTAAATCGTATTACTACGAATATCTTGTAAAAGAATTAGGAATAAATGAGCACATCGGTAATCCCACATACAAAGACATATCATTTGACAAGGATGAGATTTTAGCAAATCATAAGTCGTGCATGGCTTCAATGAACATTACATTGAACACCAAATCGGAGGACTTACCTTGTTTTTATTGGATACCTAAGCTCCACAAAATTCCTCACAAACAACGGTACATTGCCGGCTCATCTGCTTGTTCCACTAAAGAATTGTCCATTAGATTGACTAAAAATCTGTCCGCAGTGAAAGAGGGTCTTCAGAAATACTGTGAAACTGTTTACTCCCGTAGTGGTATTAGCCATATGTGGATTCTTAAAAATTCTAAAGAACTTCTAGGTAATTTTAAATCTCGGTCTTTATCTGAAATTAGTTCTATCAAAACTTTTGACTTTTCAACCCTGTATACCACCATTCCCCACGTGAAATTGAAAAATCGCCTGATAGTAATAATCCACAATGCCTTTCATCATAAAAATGGTAGCATACGCTATAAATTTATTACTTTGGGATATCATAAGGCATATTTTGTTAATAGTGAACAAAAGGGTAAAACATGCTACACAGAAGAACAAGTGATCAGTATGCTGGAGTTTCTTATCGACAACATATTTGTTGAATTTGGAGGTAGACTTTTTCAACAAATTGTCGGCATTCCTATGGGAACGAACTGTGCGCCTCTCCTTGCCAACCTCTTATTTTCATATGAATCGGAGTTCCTTCAGACACTTGTCAAAAACAAGAAGATCAAAGAAGCCAGATTATTTAATTTCACTTTTAGATATATTAATGATGTTCTTTCCATTAACAATCCGAACTTTTTTGATTGGGTTCCATTAATATATCCCCCAGAACTAGAAATTAAAGAAACAACCGACACGGCTTCCTTTGCCTCATTTTTAGACGTATATCTCGAATTTGACATACACAGTCATCTCAGTACCAGAATCTATGACAAACGAGACGATTTTAATTTTAAAATTATAAATTTCCCCCACCTTAGTAGCAATATACCAACTTCACCTGCATATGGGATATACATTTCCCAACTTATTCGATATTCAAGAGCTTGCAGCTCCCACTCAGACTTTGTAAAACGTCACCAGTGTCTGAGCAGAAAGTTGATGAACCAGGGGTATGTCAAAGAACGTCTCGTCCTTTTTCTAAAAAAGTTCATCGGAAGGTACCAAGACCTTGTTGATAAATATTCCGTATCAACTTCACAAATAATACATGATGGTCTTGAAGTATAGATTCTGCGTACTGACGTTGTTTATCATCTTAGCAACGTGTTATATTGTTCTCTCATTTGTCTTTGTTCTATTATTAATATTACTATTACTGTTTGGTTTGTTTTCTGTGATATCCATTTGACGTGGCTAGGTACTTATACATCCCGTCAATGTGTTTGTATTATCTTTCATTTTTGCTGGTGTGTTTTGTATATGCGACTTTTTGTGTTTCTGTGGTTCTTATCACGTGACTCACGTGACTCACATTATGGTATTCTTCTATTATATGTCATTATGTTATTGTTCTATTATAAATTTGAAAATACTTTGAACGACAAACGACAAATTTATTTTACTCGGTTAGTGGTATTAACCATATGTGGATTCTTAAAAATTCTAAAGAACTTCTGGACAATTTTAAATCTCGGTCTATTTCTGAAATTAATTCTAACATAACTTTTGATTTTTTAACCCTGTATACCAACATTCCCCATGTGAAATTATAAAATTGTTTTGAATAAACATTGAATGACAAAATTTCTTCTTATGTGACGTTTACATTTTCTGACGTTAGACACGCGAAGCAATGAATGTGGTTTTTAATTTGATAAATGCTTTAAATTTGTGCTTTTTTGTAAATAATTGTTTGTTTTGATATTGTAACACAGTGATGACTGCTGTGCGTATATTTTGACTTTTTATTTATAATGTCTGTTTTGTTCACGCATCGTTGTAAATATAACGGAATTTGATGAGAATATCGTACAAGTGAGAGGTTTAGCGCTATAAAACCAGGTTCAATCTACCATTTTCTACATTTGAAAATGCCTGTACCAAGTCAGGAATATGACAGTTGTTGTCCATTCGTTTGATGTGTTTTGTCATTTGATTTTGCCATGTGATTAGGGACTTTCCGATTGAATTTTCCTCGGAGTTCGGTATTTTTGTGATTTTACTTTTTAGACTATATATCGGGTTTGTAATAACAGGAGCAACACGACGGGTGCCACATGTGGAGCAGGATCTGCTTACCCTTACGGAGTACTTGAGATCACCCCCAGTTTTTGGTGGGGTTCGTGTGGCTTAGTCTTAAGTTTTCTATGTTGTGGCTTGTGTACTATTATTTGTCTGTTTGTCTTTTTCTTTTTTAGCAATGGCGTTGTCAGTTTATTTTTGATCTATGAGTTTGAATGTCCCTCTGGTATCTTTCGCCCCTCTTTGGGAATGTTACTTGTATAAATATACATGGTAGCGGGGAAATTGAATTGAGGAAGACCCAAAGTGAAGGGAGGGGTAATACAAAATTTTAGTATGAGATTAAACTTAAAGAAGTTCGTCGCATATAAATGTCGAAAACATACCGCACAGTCCTATGTTTTGACCTTTGAATACAATAGTAGTGCATATCAACTTTCCATTCTTTACGAAACTTCATAGTAAAAGTGGCACAGTTTTAACCGTAAAGGGAGTTCTTATGGGAAATTGCATTGTCTATATTTACAGAAGTGTAACCCACAGTAGTAGACATGGGAATCAGTCTGATGTTTTGATACAACGGACTTTTCCTCAATACTAGAATTCATTTCATCTTTTTATTTGTCTTTGAATATTTTTAACCTGTACTGTTTAGTAATTTTTTTGTGATATCCTGTTGGCATGACTCGGTATTTACACATTCCGCCATTCTATACGTGTTATTGAACTATGGTATTTTTTTTTTCTTGCCTTATATTTCTGTTAATGTGTTCTGTGTATGGAGTGTCTACATGGAATTATGTTATTTTGTTGTTGACATAGTTGTTTGTTTTATAATGATTCAGGTTATAACACACTTTTGACTGCCGTACCCTAGTTTTGGACAAATTTACATTTACGTCTGCTTGCTTTGATCACGCATTGTTGTCCATATATAAATAGAATATTTTGCGACTGTAATACAAGTGAGAGGTGTGGCTAGCTATAAAACAAGGTGTAATCTAACATATTCTATGTTAGGATATGCCTGTACCACGAACGGAATATTAAAGCTGTTTTCCATTCGTTTGATGAGTTTGAGTTTTTAACTTTGCCTTTTGTTAAGGGACTTTCCGTTTTAAATTTTCCTTTGAGTTCGGTATATTTGCTATTTTAGTTTTTCTGTAACATGTGTAATATGCTTACAACTTATTACACATGTTTATTTATTACAAAAGGATCAAGATAAGTTAGACGTCGCGATACAAGAACCAATCACCCATCATATAAATCAACAGTCAGGTAAATTAGCATCATCAGGGAAATGATAAATTTTACAGATCAGACGACTTTCCTGGAATGAAAAGATCTAAGTCTACAAAAAAGAAGTCGCAACTCGCAAGTAAGTTTGAGATAAATGTTGTTCGTCCGAAGTGCTCTTCGTGATTAAACTTGATCAGGAACGCTCAAACCGAAACGCCAGGGTTGCGCGAATACGCTGCAATGTCATTTAGGACAGTAAGAAGTGTATATTTCAGAAAATGTGTTCCTACGCATAGCTGTTACTTTTCATAATAGGCATGGTAATATATTAAAGTTAAAGGACCTGGGATCACTGTTCAGTATTTTTGTGATTTAACTTTTTTTTAACCGTTGTGGAATGTTTTTTTAAAAAGGAAAAATTGTATGAATGTCGCTGAAATACGGTATAGCTGAAAAATGCTGTAGATTATGTTTAACACAAATTTGAAGAGTGCCTAGGGATATGAAAAAAATTAACAAAACAGCATAGCATAAAATACAATTATTCGTTTGCATGAAATTCCCTTCACCAGCAATTGTGCTGCTACGAATGACTTTGGGTTAGTTCGCTAGTATTCTTATATTATCCGAATCAGATTGATACATCTCCTCATTTGCAGGGATGTACGTTACCGTAAACTCGAATTCTGAAATATAATTTAATCTATGGATTAGGGTCCTTGAAAACTGGCCTTTTCTTGTGCTTCTATATAACAAAACCGTCATCGTTTGCGGCGGCGTGGAATTATATTGTACTCTTTTTCCCGAAAATTACGTTATATCAAAATCTGCAATAGATTTGGAGAAAACAAAAAACTGCCATAAAATTATTTGTTTGGCGATTGTGACGTCATATTTACCATAGATTATGAATTTGCCATAGATCTGGAACCAACCTAGATTTGAGTCCTACATATATACTAGTAGTATAACATTTAAATGTTGTGTTATAAGTTATACTAAATGGACACTACCTACACCATTAAGCCACTTTATTTCTTAAATTATTAAACTTAAGAGGCCTGCTTTGGTCTTAATTGCTGATATTACATAACATTTTCAAAAATCAATGATCCTAACAATTTATGTTAGATCTAAAAACATGTCGTGATTTCCTTGATTTCCCTTATTCGAAAAGTGTCAGAATAGCCATACAAGCTTTTGATTTCCTTGCTTTTGCGGTACGACATACATATTTATCATTATCTAGAGCTTCGGAATAACACTGAAAAGCAGTGAAATCATTTCCTGATATCTCGTAACATACTCCTAGTATTGTTTCTGATTGAGATAAATCATATGATGTAACATAATAGTCATCTCTCACTGTTAAATGTAAATTATGTAATGCCTGTTTTCTTTTGAACATATCACCAAGATGATGATAACATAAAACTCTTAGACAATACGACATAACAACTGGTGGTATATAAATGCCCACCTCTTCCACCTCAAGCTGTAGTTCTTCTGGTATTAATGATGAATGCCTCATGTATCTTACACAGCCTACACTTGTTAATTTTATCCTATCCTTAAATGAAGTTTTGGAATTTACATTTCGTCTATAAGTATTCATGTGTTCTTCATCACATATATCACCGTTTATTTGCACCATACCATGATTACATCTCGACAAAACATACTCGGTCAGTCTGAGTGTTACATTGTATTTTCCTGTCACATAATAATAGGACGCGTACAACAACCAACCCGACACAGCATCTGTCCTAATACCGTCTTGGAAAAGTTTAAAATAATGTTTGTGTATGTTGTTAGTTTTACTAAGTGTTGTTGGTGGTGGTAGACATTGTACTGCATGTTGACTGATTATGCCATAATAATATTTACATATATCAATGATAAATTTAGACGATTCAGTCATTTACAAACGTTCAGCAAATTGCAGTAACTTATGACAATGCAAAAGGTTTGTTGCATGTTTTAGGTTTACACCATTCTTCAAAAAAGAGAAGTCTAACATAATGAACGAAGTTTCATTCTTTGTTCTTAATAAACGATGATTTCCACTCTCAGACGGAAATAAATTATTTATCAAACCATCAATTCCACCACACTTTATACTATTCAATACACTCCGAAGTGTTTTATTGTTACTTTGGTCAACTTTTCCTAGAAACATGTTATATTTAGGTATAAAATAGTTCGGACAGTAACAGTTGTTTATCCATAGCATTAATTTATCAAGACAGAGAGAAAAACAATAAAACAATCTAACTAATTGAAATATTTCAATATCCACTTCCTCTGAGACCCAGAATAAAGCGGTCTTCAGAAAATAAGAGCATAATGAATCTTTGACATCAACATTTGTATCAATGATGCGCTGTAATGTTAATTTTAGAAGACCGTAACATAAGAGTTGAGTGAAATTAAATGAATGTACAAGTTGTTTTTCTGCCAAAGAGAAAGACAATCTCCATAATAAACGACTTTCTGACATAGTCTTGGGTCCTATAGGTACTAAAAGACATCCGTATTTTTTAATCTTGTTAATAACATAATCAGGAGGCCATTGGTGTCGATGACGCCTTACCCACGGAATTGCACTGTAAGGTAAACTTTTACTTCGTAGGCAAAATGCAAAGTCAAAATTATGATCTTTATCGGACAAAGAGGGGCCGTGTAAAGATAGCTGATAATCTACAAATTTCTGCTTTAACTTTTCAAGAAATATATCTGCTGATAAATATAATCCATTTGTAGTTCTTTCGCAGCATTCAGATATGAATAACTCATATTCCTCTTCCCCTGGTTTGATCAATCTAAGTCTTGTAAATCCTGGGTGATCGTTATCTGACTCCATAACCAGTGTATTATGTTGTATTGGGTGTTTGATATTATGTACATTTTGAATTACTTCTACGTTATTGATAAGATACATCACATCTGCGTCACTACCTGGTAGATCCAGTCCTTCTGCCTGACTTCCGCTTGATATTTGTGCCATATAAGACTCACAAATTAAATTCTCCATCATATCATTTATGATATATAGACGTTGTCTATTGTGTATAATCAATTCGGTACCAATTGTATTAACTAGGTGTTCGTACAAGAATTTGTCCTTGTGAGCATTTCCTGGCCAAGGCAATTTATCTTTGAAATAATAATTTATACATTTTAATAAACACTTAAATAATGTCTTTATAATCGAAAGTTTTTACGAATACCATTTCTTAGTAAAATGTTCTTCTTTTTGCAGATAATTGGTTCAGTTTTGTCGAACGCGTTGCTCTGTCAATTGTTGTCTCGAGTATTTATGAAGGTTAATACATTCTTGAATTATGATCGATTACTCAGATATACTTAAAGAATTGCGTAATATGGTATTTTTAAGCTTATGTAAAAGTAATGTAAATGCATTTAATTAAGTAATTAGAAGCACACATATTGAACAATGTCCATTGTTTAGTTTATGCGGTATGGGTTTGCTCATGTTCAAGGACGTACGGTGACCCATAATAGTTGTTAACTTCTGTCATTTGGTTTCCGATAGAAAGTCTATTGGCAGTCATACAACATCTTATTTTAATATATAGTTAACATCGGTCTTATATTCACTTTAGTTCACTAATTAGAACCGTTTTATGTTGCTGCCTCGGTGTCTTATAAACACTTTATCTGATTTTGACACCAACCTTATATCGCCTTTATTTTAATCAAAAAAAGTTATCTTTAAATATTGTTTTATAGATGATGTCTGATTTCGATTCATTTTACGTTGTTGAAATCTATTGAAGTTCTATGTATATTAGATATGTACGCTATTTAATTCAAATAGTAATGTACTACTGTTCAAATCTAGTGATTCCACTTTAAGTACATTATCAAGTTGAAAAACAAGAGCTCGTCGATTTAAATGAATTCCGAAGCAAGCGATACCAGGTGAGTCAACAAAATAAGGATGCCCAGTGATATATTAAGCAAATACGCACTCAGTAAAGATGTCACAATAGAGAATAGTACGTGTATTATTGTATTTAAAGATCCACGACAGAAATTTATTTGTACACGATACAAAGACCCATCCTGTCGGTCGATCAGTGCGTGATAAGATCTTAATATATATATATATTTTTTTCAGTTATCTTTTTCACGCCACTTATCAAATTAGAGGATACTATAAATAAAGAAGACACTGTATATTAAAGAAGACTGCATGTTAACTTTGAGTGTTTTCTTTGTTTCTGTGTTGTTGGTTTGATGTTTATATTGCGTATACCAAATTTCCTTTTCATTTCAATTCGAATCATGATTTATTTCATAACAATTTTGGCACCGGATTAAATATCTAATCATCAATCATCACAGTTATGCAGGTATATCAAAACATTTAATTTGTCTACGTTGTACGCTAATTAATATTCTTTGTCGATTCATATGAGATTCAGTAATATATATAATAGTGCTTTTTTCTACTAAAAACGGAATCGTAGATACAAATGTTCTGTTTAAGGTTAAGGAACATTTAACTTTGTAACTACCCGAAAATATAAATGATGTACTTTAGTATCGGCTATATATGTGTTGCAGTTTCAATAAACAGTTTGTTATACAGTGTGTACTGATTGTACATTCCACTGTTTGACCTTATTTTGATATCATATGAAGCAAAATTCATATACTATATTCTCAACGATAAAAAGAAAAAGCATCCCTCAAAATCTAATTTTCATATTTATTGTTGATGTTCTGTTACTCAATACCCATAACAGTGAGTGCTTGCATCTCATATATCCCAGTGCACTCGAAGCACTTAAAGCTCATGATATTACGGAAACTTTACGGTCTGCGTCTTGTTTGCTAGTGAGTTGTTAAATTTCAAACTCCCTCTGGTCTAAGACGAATTCGGCTTTTTTGTCAATCCCCTTTGGCCGTATATACTTCGTCACGTTATCAATTACTTAAACATCCCAAGCATTCAATTTTAGTGTTTAAGGCCTTCTGATTTTGATAAATGCAGACAAGCGATTTCGGACATACTTAATTTATAAAGTGTTATGTTAATGACTGATTTAACTTCAACCCTAAGACTTAAATTTTATTGAATCTTACGTAATTGTTGCGACTCGATGAATACAGAACTGGTCTATCAAAAAGTTGTACATTTTTGCGTAGAATTTAAATATTAATTTAACCATGTTAATGGGACATGAAATGTAGATTATTACTTTCAACAAGTAACTTCACAGATAATTAACAACAAAGTCTTTCTATTTTTAAGGAATAATATAAAGGGTAATGCCGTTTTAACTTGTTATACATTATTATGAATTCAGAACATCCCGTCCACTGGTCCTCACATGTGAATAACCAGGTGCGACTAATTACCGAATTTGCCTTGATATGTGCAACATTTACTTTAGAATAGTAGAATTTTTTTTTTCATTCCAGAGCACCTGAGTTTAACCCTGTTTTCGGTGGGGTGAGTATTTTTACAGGTCATTCTTTTTCTGTGTAGTATTTTGCAAACATCTTTTTCTCTTTGTTGCTTCCCGTTTTGATCATGACGATGTCTTTTTATCTTCAGCTAATCGTTTTTGTATTTCAATCTTGGTATCTTTCCACTGATTTGGACTTTCTTGTTTGTAGTCATTACATCGTTCTTACCTTTATTATAGTAAATGCAATTCTGTAAGTATTCCAGATATTCATTTGAAGATTTGTCAGGATATCTAAGATTTAGTATCCACTGTTCTTGAGTTTTCCTTCTATCTAAACATTTTTTATAAATTCGTTCAAACTGCCTGATTGCCAGCCCGAACACGTCATTTGATATAACAATCTCTCCGTTTAAAGGCTTGGAAATCGATGGTGTGTATCTACGCCTTCCACGGTAAGGAAAACTTTTAACACCGTATTTTTGCAGGTACAGAATTTTTCTCATTCCATACATATTTTCATCGTCGTCATTTTCTTGGTTTCTGGGATTTGCGTCCATGATGAATCTAAAAATAGAAATCATTAAATTTCACTAATTAAGGCCAAAAGTTTTTAAGCAGTTTTATTTTCAAAGTTTAATATAACTGTTTGGTGTTTAATGTCGCAGTTGTTAGTCTCTAAACCGGGAATTTTGCAAAATTGCTAATCACAGATTGACAGAGTTGACAACTTTCATTCATGACAGGTAACATTTTAAACAGATATAAGAAGATGTGGTATGAGTGCCCATGAGACAACTCTCTATCCAAGTCACAATTTGTAAAAAGTAAACCATTATAGGTCAAAGTACGGTATTCAACACGGAACATAGGTTCACATCGAACAGCAAGCTATGAATGGTCCCAAACATGGCTAGTGTAAAATCATTCAAACAGGAAAACCTACGGTCTAATCAATAAAAAAAAACGAAAAACAAGAAACACTTACAAACCAAACCAGCAAAAGACAACCATTGAACAACAGGTTCATTCCTGCAGCGTGTTTAAACGGTATCGGGTCCGTTCGCGCCCAATACACGTTCGCACCCTACACGTTCGCCCCCTGGGTCCGTTCGCACCCTTTTTTTAATTCAAAAACCTGATGAATTATAAGATGTTTTTTAACATATTTATCTCAAAATAAAGAAAAATTCGGCAATTTTTAAATTTTTTAAATGAAATATTGTTTTAAATTGATTTGTGGATTAATTATTATATGTGAATTATGTATGATTACTGTTGATATATGGTGTTTTGAAACAATGAAAAAAAACTTATTTATAGCAATACAATAACCAAAACACGATTAAAAAATTATACAACACAAAAATCGTTTTTAGAAAGTCACTTCATTTTAAAACAATGAACAAACAAAATATTTATTGCAATACACTAACCAAAATACGATTGAAAAATTATTTAACACAAAATCAATAAAAAGGGTGCGAACGTGTAGGGTGCGAACGGACCCGGGGTGCGAACGTGAATGGGCGCGAACGGGCCCGTATTCTGTTTAAACTATTAACAGGAGCCACCCTTCACTCTAACCTGTATTTGATACTACTAGCGAATTGTTTTTGTGTTTTTACAACTCTCCAATCTGATAAAAATCGCCGTCATGACACGCGTGTCATTACATTAGATTTTAATCAGATTAAAATCTTGTGATACAAGAATAGACATTTGATCGGTTTATCTACCGCTTTTTTTTATTTGTAATCACGACGTTTCTCGAGTTGAGATTCACATTGCGGGTAATGTATTTATACGAGAAGATACTTGCCGTGTCAACGCATCCAGTGTTTTGCGTGATTGTGAGTCTTATAGGTAAAGGTTTCTACCCTTATTATCCGATTTACGACATTTGAACATGTTGAACGTCCACTAACTTCTATAGCTTCTTACAGATGGGTGCAGTCCTAACCTGTACAGCAAGTTAACTTGAACATAATGTGAAAACGAAATTTTGTCAGTATAAATCTAGATTGCCAGCATGTCCTCTTTTTAATCAAAATATTGTCTCACAACAAAATTTCAGTAGTTTTGATACCTCAAGCTGACTCCCATAACAAAATTATTTGACCGCATTAACCAAAACGGACTATATTTGCACTTTGTTTTGTAAATCTATATAGCCACATCTTAAATCAGCAACTATTTTTATGTCAGGATTTAATGTATAATACAAATGACAGCAATATTGGAACACAACAACTACAAATGTTTGTCCGCATAAATTTAGAGTGCCAGCATGTCCTCCTTTTGTTCAATATATTGATACGTAACAAAATTTCAGTAGTTTTGATACCCCAGGCTGACTCCTATAAAAACATTATTTGACCGATCAACCAAAACTGACCATATTTGCATTTTATTTTGTAAATCTATATAGCCACATAGTAAATCAGCAACTATTTTTATGTCAGGATTTAATGTATAATACAAATGACAGCAATATTGGAACACAACAACTACAAAATTTTGTCCGCATAAATTTAGAGTGCCAACATGTCCTCCTTTTATTCAATATACATGATATATTGATACATAACTAAATTTCAGTAGTTTGGATACCTCAGGCTGACTTGTATAGCAAAATTATTTGACCGCTTTAACCAAAACTGAACATATTTGCACTTTATTGTGTAAATCTATATAGCCACATAGTAAATCAGCAACTATTTTTATGTCAGGATTTAATGTATAATACAAATGACAGCAATATTGGAACACAACAACTACAAATTTTTGTCCGCATAAATTTAGAGTGCCAGCATGTCCTCCTTTTGTTCAGTATATTGATACGTAACAAAATTTCAGTAGTTTTGATACCCCAGGCTGACACTCTCTAACAAAATTATTTGACCGTATCAACCAAAACTGACCATATTTGCACTTTATTTTGTAAATCTATATAGCCACATAGTAAATCAGCAACTATTTTTATGTCAGGATTTAATGTATAATACAAATGACAGCAATATTGGAACACAACAACTACAAATTTTTGTCTGCATACATTTAGAGTGCCTGCATGTCCTTTTGTTCAATATATTGATACGTAACAAAATTTCAGTAGTTTTGATACCTCAGGCTGACTCCTATAACAAAATTATTTGACCGTATCAACCAAAACTAACCATATTTGCACTTTATTTTGTAAATCTATATAGCCACATAGTAAATCAGCAACTATTTTTATGTTAGGATTTAATGTATAATACAAATGACAGCAATATTGGAACACAACAACTACAACATTTTGTCCGCATAAATTTAGAGTGCCTGCATGTCCTCCTTTTGTTCAATATACATGATATATTGATACGTAACTAAATTTCAGTAGTTTTGATACCTCAGGCTGACTTGTATAGCAAAATTATTTGACCGCATTAACCAAAACTGACCATATTTGCACTTTATTTTGTAAATCTATATAGCCGCATAGTAAATCAGCAACTATTTTCATGTCAGGATTTAATCATTTTAATGTATAATACAAATGACAGCAATATTGGAACACAACAACTACAAAATTTTGTCTGCATAAATTTAGAGTGACAGCATGTCCTCCTTTTGGTCAATATACATGATATATTGATACGTAACTAAATTTCAGTAGTTTTGATACCCCAGGCTGACTTGTATAGCAAAATTATTAGACCGCATCAACCAAAACTGACCATATTTGCACTTTATTATGTAAATCTTTATCATGTTTATAGCCGCATAATAATTCAGTAATATTTTAATGTCAGGATTTAATGTTTAATACAAATGACAGTAATATTGGAACACAATGAATACACAATTTTGTCCGCATGAATTTAGAGTGCCAGCATGTCCTCCTGTTGCTCAATATATTGATATGTAACAAAATTTCAGTACTTTTGATACCTCAGGCTAACTGGTATAGCAACATGTTATGACCGTATCAACTAAAACTGACCATATTTGCACTTTAGTATGTAAATCTATATGGCTGCATTATATTTAATTAGAAGTTTTTTTATGTCAGGATGTATTGTATTATAATACAAATGACAGCAATATTGGAAAACAATGGATGCAATATCTTTTCCGCATCAATTTAGATTGTCAGCATTTCATCTCTGTATTAATAATATTAGACCATCACTAAAGTTAGTAGTTCAGGATGGTGTGTATAACAAAACTATTTGACTGCATCATCCAACACTGACATGTCTGATTTCATTTTTATTTTATAATGAAAAGTATAAGAAGTTTTCTTCTGGGAATAGTATACTGTTGGTACATTATGTCGGTTGATTGATTTTGTTTGTAGCTAAACCTCAAGTGGCAACTATTTCATTCGTGTGCACAACGAGTATATTGTTTTGGAAGTCCCATATCATCATTTTTAATCCGTAAAGACAAATCTGACGAAATTGACGAGATTGTTCATAATTATTCAACACCTTATGTATCCGGACACTGTACAATTTTCGTTAGAATATTTTGTCGAAAACAGAATCGTAAATCCAAGGCAAACAAGGTGAATTACGATGAGATATCAATGTAATGCATAAAGTTTAATTTAGGAAGAGACTGTGAAATATGGGGAACGAAGCAACGTCGACAATGATGTTGATATCCCATGACATAACAATATTGTTCCGATGCGTTGGATAACCTTTCTATCCGCCTTCTGATTAAATAAAAACTTTCCTTTCTTTAATGATAGCCGTATGTGATCACAAGTGTGTAATTTTATAGCCATTGTTTAATGTATATAAGAATACATGAAATGAAAAAAATATTTTTTTTTAATGTGTATAATATCGATAGAGTCGAGTAAAGAAATTTGCTATACAGGGAAAAAAGAACAATGCGATTAATGTTTACATATTAAAAGCTCAGGTCTGATATCAAAAGTCATAAACACGGTAATTTGTCATAAGCAGACCTGTTCCCAGGTCTGGTCAATAGCAGACTTGTCCACAGGTCTGGTCAGGAGCAGACCTGTCCACAGGTCTGGTCTGGAGCAGACCTGTCCACAGGTCTGGTCTGGGGCAGACCTGTCCTCAGGACTGGTCAAAAGCAGACTTGTCCATAGGTCTGGTCTGGAGCAGACCTGTCAATAGGTCTCAGCAGTCCTAAAAAGCAGACCGTAGGTCTGGTCTACCAACGACAAAGTTAACTTGCTTGTCTGCTTAAATTTCCCAAGTTGACTTGAAAAGCAGTCAACAAGTCTGCTCAAAGTTAACTTTTGTACAGGTTAGGACCGCACCCATCTGTACCTAAGCCACACAGTAAAATTTAAAAAAAAAAACGTCAAACATGTTTTAACTACCACCATCACTAGCAAATGACTTATATCAAAATTTAAAAGCACACTTTATATGTTTCATTGGTTTGAAAATTAATTTGTTTAATGGTAATTAACCTTTATAGGGTACGTGTAATAATTGAAAGCCAAGAATGTAACAGACATTTACTCAATATTAGCTTTCATAACAGCGCTGAATTTTTAGCCTTTTTATAAAATGCTTAAGCTCTAGC